TGGCTTCTTTACTTTTCCTCCCACTAATGGACCTATCCGCCTGCGCACCAATCATTTCGTGTAACATTATCCGGATCCCACAACTATCAAATTTGGTTCTTGCCTGAAAAAAAAATCTACTGAGGTGAAGTATTCCTTACAGGATACCCGAACTGGATATGATCCTGAGGAACCTAAAATAAATGAGGACCATGAACCTACGCAGAAATAGAAGTCCAGTCACGGCTGTAGTTATTGTCCTCCGAAGAAATCTTCACGGGCTTAAGGCCAAAGCAATCACTACCTTTCTCGAGAGTTTAGCGACTTGGTTAATTTTTCTTAAGGGCAATGAAGACATTCTAAAAAGTTGTAAACGCAAGTACTCAAGGATAAGGAAAAAGGAAAGAATCATTGCCATCAACTAGGGATATGTTCCTCGTCAAGGTTAACTTTTTCAAAAGGAAAGGAGCTTTGCGGAGCCCAGCCTTATTCCCCTTAATCCAGACCTGATCCCCTTTAATGACCAGTTTGGATGAGGAGCTGAATGGAAGTAGTTGCAATACGAAGAGGTCGAGCAACGGGTAATCTTAGGAATTCCAACGAAGATGAGTTTATTTCGACAAACAATTAACAGTTAAGAGTACCATCAGGATCAACGATCGCGTTCACTTTTTGGTCAATCCGATACTATCCGAACTATTTCGGAAGGATTATAGCTCGGTGGATTCGAAATTATTTCGATCTACAGGCTGTGCGGATAAAATTCATTCTCCTGCCTTACGGCTACCTCTCACCGGAGAAGCTGTCTATTAAGCATTCCTCTCAATGCCCGAGGCTTTGCTCCACGTTGCCTAAAATTGATACAACCCTATAAAATTTGTTTATCTTCAACAAAACACATACGTCTTCGTAACACATAGTATACAGCTATTAAAAACCTCATTAAGCTGAAGTAACACGCCGTGAAGACTTCTGTATTCTCGCCTGTAATTCCTATTGTTTCCAAAATAGTACTTTCTATGACTAATGAAGGATAAAAGTCGAAAGTTCTCAAAATCTACTTAATAATATTAAGCGATAAAACTCTCTAAAGAGACTTTTTTTGAACTGTGGTTATTACATCACGAGCAGCAGATAGAACATTTAGCAGAACGGCTTCATTAGGTATGATTGGTAAGAGAACAGTCAAATGGATAAATAAGGCTTTCTTCGTTGTTAAATGGGAGTAAAGAGGGGAGAGTGACCGGTTGTACACCATCGAGCAGTTTTTTCGCGTAAAATCGGATTGGGTCGTGCATATGCGACAGAAGGTGGAGGTAAGTATGACTTCGAGGGCGCTGTAATGCGTCAAATGCGAGCCGTTACTTTGACGGTAAAACGTTTTACTTTTACAAATATATTTAAACCTATGGCGATCGAAAACGCTTATACATCAGTTATGATGATATTGGGATCAAAACTCTTTCACTGAAATTTCAAAAAAATGAAGTAATATATATAAGACAATTTAGCTGGAAAGTAAGTGAAGTAAAGAGACAAGTTGAAGCCAACATATAGGTGGCTCTTTTTGTCTATTCAATAAACGATTCAACGTCTCCACCTTCCGCATGGGCTGGCTCATTAGTAACTTGGGGTAAGTGAGCTATGAAAATGGGTAGGGTTATGTTTTGCGGTTGCTAAATCAGGGGTAGAAGTATATAAAGAGCTAATTACTGAATACACTCACTATTAAATGTCTTTTTCAATCAACCAAGGTAGTGTAATGGCATGCAGCGCGTTATCAAACACGCATAGCCAGAAGATCGTATCTCGACCCGCCTAGACCCACCAAGTTTTCCATACCGCAGAGTCGGTTAAATGGTATCAGACTTATATGGAACGATAAAAGCTTCGACTGTTGCTGTTGAGAAATTGAATGGGCGGGAAATATGAAAAGGAATTATGGACATGGGAATATCTCCAGAATTAGCACAACACTTCCGGAGCCCTGGTCTAGAGGCGCTGATCTCACTCTGGTTGGTTAAGTCTAAAGGTCCGGATGTACGAACCTGCCTACTGTATTGCCCAGAAAGCCATTCACATGCTCGGGCGACCTCTGACTCAGAGCGAAATCTCGGAAGTCGAACCAAGACCAACGACCCAGAAATCGAACTTGTGGCACCACCCAAGAAAAATTCATCAACTCTGTAAACCTTATAATATACACAGCCTAATATTCAGGCTACGTGCGTTCTCTGGGACTTCAGTAAGATTGTGGAGTGTTTGATCGGGTATCCGCAAATTGTTTTGATCCATTTCAGGCTCTGAAGAAGGCGGTACCGCAGAAACGTTAGCTAATAAAGGTTCATAACAATCTTGTCTTACGAAGAGATAACATTCAGTGTAACATTCAGTGGTCGAGTGAATGGACGTCTCTGAAGCACAAGCTCCCCTTTTTTACTGCTGATTCTCTGATTGGAAGGAAGAATTTAAAGGTTTCGTAAGGTTCGGTTCAAGTCGCTCCTATTTTGAGAGATTTTCAAAGAAAAAAGGCAGTCCAATACCCTTTTTACTGGGTGTAAAATGCACATCGCTGACTGTTGCCGTGAGAATGTGAAAAACCCAAACAAACGATTCATCCTGCATGAGCTGGAGATTGAGAAATGACATGAGTTGTTTAATATTTTGACTGATGCTTATGAAAACTTTGTTATCTGATCTGAAAACTGTCAACTCTCTAAAAGAATGCGGACATCTAATCAAAAATTAAATATAAAAAGTATTATATTATGTTAAATTCCTGAGAAGTTTCGAAAACTGCCATTAGAAAAAGAGCATTGGTTCAGGGATGGGCCAGGCAATCAGCTATGATTCGCTTACGTGATGCTATTTGAGTGGATCGTGGAAGAGGGTGGAGCTACCTCATGATTCCTTACAGTTGGTATGAAATTCCCATGCAATGGGCCCGTTCGAAGGGTGAAAATCGAATCCATAGCTTTTACGAGTGGTGATCATCGTTACTACTCCGTTTACTCTCCCGTAATCACGTAAATGAGGCCATAAAAAAGACCCAAGCACTTGATTGTCGTGGTTCACGACCGAAACAGTTTTTCGAACATCACGGCGCTTAGCCATAAAATACCGAACGGCACCCTAAAAAACTGAAAACTGCGTAAAGCCTACAACTGGTGAGACAATAAAGGAACAGATGATGGCTAATGACATAACTAAGGGAAGGTGTTCCACTGTCAAGCAGCGCACTATCACACGCATGTTTCGGAGATCGAATCCTTGATACAACGAAAGAATCAAGCCTTTGTTCCCTCCATTTCAATGGATTGCTACCTGTCGTGTTCGGGTTCAGCGATTTTTCTGGGCACAAAGTATAAGTAGGAAGTGGTGTAGTGGCAGAAGACACACTTTCACTGAAGCACGTTCCGATGATCGGATCCTGATCGATATCCGCCCAAGCCAACTAAGCTTTACATCCCTCCAGGGGCGGTCAATTGTTACCGGACTCATATGGGAGGATAAAAGTACTGATTTCTGGATGGGTTGGTCACCACAAGTCATTGTATAGGCCACATACCATACAATACCCCGCTGTGATTTTCAATGGAAGTCGAACACGGGGCGCATCCCAAGAACGGGAGTGATCATTCATCAATGACTTCGTCGATGAAATAAACGTCAGATTCCTGGTTTTAAGAATCAGAATTTCCTGTTTATTCTCGCTCTTAACAATAAATTTTAATTCTAGAGCAGAGGTAACAGTAATACATTACGAAAATTTGTGGAGCGAGGTGAAAAAGGGGGTGCGCAGCCAGGAATGAGCCGAAAAACTGCGATAGACAGGGTTACTGGCAAAAACTATCGAAGGATAACAAATGTTCATTGCGAAACCGTTCAAGGATGGGGTGGGCGCTGCAGTGAATCGGTTTCGAACGAATCGTTTGTTGAAAATGAATGTTCGAGCTTTGATTGAACTGATCAAGGGACACAGTGCGAAATTCGTAAAAAAACGATTTTAAGGTTCCAAGAGTTATGCGTCTGAGAACAATCTTTACGAAAAAACGCATGAGTACTTTTTTGGTGAAGCTACGAGAGTACATTAAACCGGTAAAGAATGGATCTAACAAAAGTGATTGTCCTGGGAACCGGTTGTAATGAATGCGAAAAAGTAAAATTAATCTCGTCCCCGCTCCATCGTTATTTCTTACTACAACCGGAGAAAAAACTACATACTTCCGAATCTCCATCTCCTGTCATTGTTGTGGCACATCGACCCTATCCACTCGGTAATTTTGTTTAATAATTTTTTTGGGGCGGAGTTTATGAGTAGGGTGGTTCTCAGAAAAGAACAAATTTTTCTTTTTCTTTCCATTACAGCCGATTCCCGGAACAATGGCCTTTGTTAGGTGGTTTCTTCACCGATACAATGTGCTCTTGTAGCTTATTTCATAAAAAAATGTGGGAGAGGATGTGATGCAGTCGCAAGTGGCGCTATACATACAACTATGATCCTGAGATCGAATCCTCAATCAGTAGTGCTCATCCGGACCAAAAGAGCATTCCATTTCTCTGGGGTCGGTTAGTTGGTTCCAGACTCGTCTGAAATGCTAAAATTTCTGGCTTGAACATCGAATGACCACCGCGAATCAAGCTATGGGCCAAATATGCATTCAATACAGCACTGCGATTCTGAGTTGAAGTCAAATGCTTGGCGCATTCCAAAAAGCGATTCTCCGTCCAATGCCTTCATCCTTTACCATTTTTTCATGACAGACTTTCAAATGATGATGTTAATCTGATGATCTGCCATTCATGTGGCCATTTTCGGTGGGCCTAAACGCTTTGAAAAAAACCCTAACATTTAAGGAAAGATGGATTGCCTCTGAGGCAGGTATTCAGTTTCCCGAATATGAAAATTCGCTTCGAGGTATTTCAAAGAGCATACCACACACCTTCTGCATTGAAACCGCTGTACACAGTGTTTACGAGTACGAGATGGTCAGTAAGAATCTCAGTTTCCTTTTCTACCGATGAAGAACAGTGGAAAAGAGTACAGGATGGAGAGCTCGGTTCGCTATTTTCAGTTGACCACTGCTACCGTATTCGACATATCGTCATTGGAAGAAAGTAAAGGATGGCCCATAATTATACAATTTGAAATGAGAGCATTCCTGGCATCAGATGGGTACAGGCTTGATTATATCGATAGTGTGAACAAGAGGCTGAACAACTCGGACAAGGAAGGAGCAGTGTTCCATGAGACGGTGAGCCGACTGGCACACGGATATCATCTAATCAGCTATTCGTTAAAGGAAAACGTTGAAAGTAAAGTCGCAAAACGTCTCGGCTAGCGAGGCTTCATTTGAAAAAACCACATAGACATCCTAGCGGTGATTCCTGGACAAAGGCCCGATCGTTCGGCACAGCAGGGAGCAGTAACAACGAGGACAGTTGCAGGAGTCATCACTCAGGAAAACGCCCTCCTCAACAGGGTCAACAAACAAAAAACCACTTTTTAAAGGGTGAGGGTGGCAGTTTGGAAGCTTTATGGATCTTTAGATAATTCACAGAGATTGAAAACTTATTGCCACGTTGCAAACCTATTTCTCACTTAATTATCGCCTGATGGAACGAGCTAAGTGATGTGCACTTCTTGGACCGAGTGATGGCAAGAAAAGAGGACCTGTACAGCAGCTCAGCTGCATGCATTGAGTATAATGACAGCAAAAACGAAAGGCTGAAGATGATCTTGGGTGGATCACTGCTCTTCAATGGCAAATGTGCAGAACTATCACTGATGGATAGCATGAGTGAGTCATAAAGAGCGGTAGACTTGCGCTTCTAAATGTACCCAACGGAATGGGAGGGAATGTGGGCATCCAGCTTTTTATCGAGCAATACCTACCCCCTTTTGTCAGCATGTGGTCCAGTAAATGCGTCCGAATTCAGATTGATTACCACCCGTTTCACTATCGGCCATGTTCTGAAAGGACAACGGCTTTCACTAAAGGCTGCGATTGAAAGAGAACGGGAAAGGTGATATTTGAGGACCGAAAATCTTCAAGACCATGATTTCACTCGAACCGAATTCCACCATAACAGCACTGGTTCACATATTCTTTCGAAACGTCAACTGTAAGATACTTCTAGGAAGAGTGAAAGACACAGTGCTTTACTAGACATTTCCGGATCTCTGACGCTTCCTTTCTCGAATAATTCATCTGGGTTTCAGTTTTTAGTGTGAAAGCTGGGTCATTTTCGACCTTATGATCGTACAGAGGCAGTAGCTATTTGATTGGCACAGATGAAGTCTATATTCATGTCTGCAACGGGTACAAGAGAAGTTCCGTAAGTGTCCCCTAGCTTGCTTATATGGCGTTAAACCAGAGAACTGCTGGTGGTTGAAAGAAAACATTTCGAGAACTGAAATACGATTCTTTCATTCTGAGTGCATTACCATCTTTCAGTGACGGAATGGCATGTCTAAAGTTAGTATGAACCTCAGACCCATCGCGCCTAGAAAAGAACGCCAGGGCTCTGTGTTAGAAAGGAAAGGGAGATTGAAAAAGGTAGTGACCTTGCAACTCATTGAATGTTCGATGGTCCTTGCGAAGGTCTTCGAGTCCTTTTTTGCTTCGACTCGGCCAACAGTGCTCCGTTTTCCTTTTCAATCGACGAGTCACTCGTATGCTAATACTCGTCTGTCGATAGTGAAATGTTCCACGAACCGGCCGGCGAAGTAATGGGATCCCTATTTGCATTGCAAAACTCGCTACATTTTTTCTCCCTTTCAACTGACTTGCGTAACGGACGCACTGTAACGAAGGTAGCTCAATTTGGCTGGGTGTATCCGAAAAAAGGGAAAGTTTGATCGGCAGATGACATTTCTACGTCATTAGAAACGACGGTTCATGAAGTGTCAAGTGAGGACTGTGCAAAGACTGACCAGTGAGAAGGATAAGCATGATTATCAGTGGTCCGCATCAGTGAACCTACCGAGTCCTAAGATCTTTGGCAGAATTTCCCAAAACGGACCATCCAGCAGTGTAAAAAAGGTTGTAAGTAGACGTCATAAAGGACCTCATCCATTACCACTGCTTCCAGTGACGACCACGCATTTCCATCCCGAGCGCCATCGTTGGAGCAAGTCTTAGTGATTGTATCATTGATGGGGGATTGGAGTTGATGTAGCGCCAAATGGCGTACTGTCATAAGAGCGGTCCGGAGTTCGAATCCTTGCTTGAAACACTCTCTAACCAAACAGCTATCCCTCCCCTCCGGGTCTGTTACTCGGTACCAGACCATTAAGAGGGATAAAGCACTGACTTATCCAACGCTCGTCCTACAAACGGAATTAATCATAACCAAAAACTCAAAGACCTAAAGGCTGTTGAGGTGATGGCAATATCAAGTAAAGCTACTACTGGAGTAAAGTGGAATGGTATCAATGTGCAAATGACAAGGCAGAAATGTAGGAAAATCCGACATATCCCTGCAGCGGGTCTGAGTACCGAACCATCTCACCTTATATGCCATCCCAAGCAGTTCAAATAAAGTCATACGCTCTAGGAAATCGTCCTTACATTGCCATTATTTTAGGAATGAACTCGTTTTCCGATCGAAACCTTTCATCGGCCGCTTATTTTTTAATGATGATGCCATTTGCCGTCAAATGCGTGACGACTGAATAGTGACCGGTTACCCCACCGGGGAACATAACTACTTTCTATGGACGGTAGTTTCCGCTAGGGACTCAGTAACTTTTTGCCCGAAAGTGGCACTCTGAAGGATCTGGACGAGTCTCCATGAATTTCGCTTCGTTGAGTATATTAGTATTGCTTTACCACTCACTAGAACAAAAAAGAATTTAACGAAGAAATGCAAAGGTGTGTAGAATATACAGAACTCTGCCTATGGTTCTGAGAAGTAGTAATAGACAGTAAGGTAAAGAGAGAGAGAGAGAGAAAAAGGTTCTTTCTAAAGAAGAGCCACGTAGTACGACGGTGTTCGAGGAAATGGGAGAGCTGTTCGAAATTTTGAAAAAAATCGTTCAGATTCTGTTCAGGAAGGTTTCAAGGGAGAAATGTATCAGCAAACATCTTGGCGAGGTAAATCAAGCAAAAGTGAGAGTGAAGGACTTTGAGGCATCTTCTGATGACCTCAGGGAGGGGAGGGGGTGGGGGGCAAGACCTTGCTACCGCACGATATTGGAGCTCCCTTTGCCTGGATCGGATTGAACCGACGGAATACCGTAATTACCAGGTGAATGCTGCAAAATGACTTTTGTAATGAACGTAGTGTAGTAGTGAATGCATGTCATAAAGTAAAAACTGGCAACAATAGACAATCACAAAGCTCATACGCTTACTCGACCCCTTTGTTACTGTATTTCTTTAGGTTATCAACCGGAGAGTCAATAGAACATCAACCGGTTCATATAACCCAGGTGTCAGAGAGGAATGGGATTTGCATGGACGATGGATGGATGCTATTGTGTCGGCATACAACTAGCACGGACTAATTATAGTTGGATGAGGATCAGCATCAATGAGCTGATAAGTATCGGTGATGAGGTCATCGAAGTGCCAACGATGTCGACGTATACATCCATTTTAAGCGCTAGCCCATAACACTGTAGAGTTCAATGACAGCTGCACAAACGAAAAAAAGGTAAAGATGAAGTATGTGATGGTCAGCGAAGAGTTCAACGTTATCCACAAAAAGTTGAGGCCATTGCACAAATGATTTATAGTCGTTCGAAGTTTTTTGATGGAATGACCCTTTTCTGTTCGCCCTTCCAGGTTCTGCTGATTCTAGAAGATCCAACTACTTAGTAAGGGTATTTTTGTTTCAGAGGAAAACTGACTATCTTATTTTTCAATCACAGAGTAGCCGAAAAAAGTTGGCTTTCTGCGAGCGGTGGAGTAAAGCAAAAATCTACATATGCTTTCGCTTAAGTGGTCGGAAGTAGTCCAAACGTTCACTGTCCTTATTACTAGGACGAGTTTCCTTGTCAAGGATTTGAATGTCTTGAAAAATCCATGAGTTATTGCTTGCTATCAAAGCCGGAGGATTTACCGGAGGAGTGTCTGTCAAAAAAGATGCCCTTGTACCATGCTTTATGTGAGATCAAGACTACTCTGCCCGGGTGTGGTGCGTTAGGAACGAAATGGTCGCGTCGCGGTGAGAGGGGCATCGCGCGCGAAGGAATGTAGCAGGATGCAGCGGTAGGTAAGAAATTCAAGAACAAAAGTACTAATAGTAGAATTATGCATAAAATAATGATCGCATATCGATTGAGCTCTATGAAGAACGCTAGAGCTGTAATATGAAGGCGAATGAGTGGTCCGCGACAGCCGCGTGCGGCAAATCGATTACCCAAAACCGTTCCTAACGCCCGTTTCCCATTCTGCCCGAGGAGACACGGACGATGTACCTGACGAGTCAGGAACTACGCAGAGAACTCGGTCAGTTCCAAATTGGTTCCCACAGGGTCCCTATACATTATGGAGTAAGTGGAATATAGCCCTGTCGATCTATAACACTTTATCATTCGAAAAGCTCTAGTACTGAGGTTTGCCATTAATCAAAAAGCTATGACCCTCGCAACAAGTAAACACTGGAATCAAGGGCCGATAAGCTAGGCTTGCAAGGCATCAAGAAGCGGAGAGTAATAGTTTGATAGCGTAAAAGATAAAGATGTGCACGGAAAGCACAAGTACGGGTTCGAGTTCCTCCCTCGCTCACCTTTTTGGCCACACCTCAGCAGCCCTGTAAGGCAAAAGAAACAGCAAGCATTCAAGAGGTAATAATTTTTATTACAACGATATACTCCAAAGCACGTTGTGAGGAAGTACTGTTCGCTGAAACCTTGATGCTTCAGTGGGAATGGTAATGTTACTGCAGTGGTAGAATGGTAAAAGAGAACAGCCTCAAAAGCCTTTACTATTTGATGGCACAATAATGGCAGGAGTTGTTCGAAAACCGAGTCTTAGGACCCCCCTTTCATGCCCTTTCATGAGTTTCTTTTTAGGAGCATGACACCACCAACAGGCTGTCAAAGCGGTGTTGATGAGCAGGTCGTAAGTAGGAAGTAACTAATGGAGGATAAAATATAACGTTTTTTTGGCTTCAATCAAGTCCGTTTAGGAGAAGCGCCCACGTATTCGACTCCATTCAGAATTGTAGGGGCCGATTGAATGCGTGCGTGGCCTATACAATGACTTGCGGTGCCAGTCGATACACAAGTCACTGCTATTATCCTCCCAGACAAGTCTGGTACCAATTGACCGACCCCGAAAGAAGGGGGGGCGCGCGATTCACGCGCCAATATAATGAGGTCATCGCGCAC